CCCCCCCGCCGCCCCACCGTGCCCGTGCCCCAGGCCGCCCGCAAGCAGCAGTGCGGGTGGCTCCCCGCAAGCCCCAGGTCGCCCGGGGGTCTCCTGGGGCGCCACCTCCTCCTGGGGCTGGAGCCCAGCCCAGACTCGCAGAGTCCATGCGGAGCACGTGTTGGTGGGGTGGCCTTGTCTGTGCTGTCTGGATGGGAGGCTCTGGAAAGTACTGATGCATGTGAAGAGGTCGGGAAAGGAGGCTGGAGGGCCAGCTGACCCCAGGGCTTTGTGACGGGAAGAGACAGACGGGCCACAGGGAGAGGATCTCAGGAACAGAGGAGTGAAAAGGCCAGGGCCTCAGCAGCCGCAGTCCACCTCCCTGAGGCCTGACTGCCCGCGGCCAAGCCTCTGCCACAGCCCCAACCTCTCCACCCCTCCAGGAAGTGGAAGTGAGCTCAAGCAGCACTGCACACCCACACAGGACACGATCTGCCACTGTAGGCCCGGAACCCAGCCCCGTGAGGATGGCTACAAGCCTGGAGTGGGTGAGCTGGGGTGCCCGGGGTGCGGGGCAGCGTGTGCTCGGCGCCCCCTCGCCGTGAGCTTTGGTGATGGTGGGATGAGTGCTTTTCGCGCCTCACACGCCGCCTCTTCCCTGGCACCTCTCTAATGGGCTGGGCTGGGTAGGGGCGTGGAGGGCTCCCAGTCCACTTTCCGGCCAGGGCCAGTGGGTGGCATGTGGCATGGAAGAGCTGCCTCCCATTTGCCCCGGGCCTCATCTCCAACCGCCGCAGCACGGAGGCCAGCACGGAGGCCACCGGTGGTGTCAGGTGGTTAACTGCTCAGTATCTTCACGCAGACTGTGTCCCCTGCCCTCCTGGTCACTTCTCCCCAGGCGACAACCAGGCCTGCAAGCCCTGGACCAAGTGAGTGTCGTGGTGGGGACTGGGGTCCTGGAGGGTAAGAGGCTTGGTGTGCGGAGGCCAGGGCAGGGGGCAGAAGCCGCTGGGCACACGCTGGGCACACGCTGGGCACACAGTCCCTGGCTCAGCCCTTGAGGGCCTCTGTGGGGGGGTGGGCCTGTGGGAGGGGACCTGTGGGGGGTGGGCCTGTGGGGGGCCTGTGAGGCCCTCGTCCAGGCTAGCTCTCACTGAGTTCACTCCAGGGGACAGCAGGGAAGGTAGAGGTAGGGTTAGGAGTGAGAATCCAGCAGGAGTAGGACAGGGCGGGCACGGGGAGGAAGGTGTGGAGGCCTTGGGGGAGGGTCTAGGCAGCTGTCTCAGACGCCTTTGGTCTGGCGTTGTGATTACTCAATGTGGGCCCCTCCTCCGTGGCCTTGGCGGTGTCCCCTCTCCCAGCTGCTCCTCAGCTGGGCAGCGGACCCTGCGGCCAGCGGACGCCAGCTCAGACTCGGTTTGTGAGGATGAGCGCTCCCTGGCCACGCCAGCCTGGGAGACCCAGGATCCTGGCGCCAGGCCCACAGCCGCGCCTCCCACTGAGGCCTGGCCTCAGACCTCTCAGCAGCCCTCGACTCCCGCCTCAGAGGGCCCTGTGGGTAAGTGGGCATTGCCCAGCGAGGGGGAGGGAGAGGAGGGAGAGATGGAGAGGACAGAGAGAGGGAGCTCACCCCGCTGGCCTCCTCTCAGGCCCCGTGCTGGCTGCTGCCCTGGGCCTGGGCCTAGGCCTGGTCACCCCCCTGGCTGCCTTGCTTGCCCTCCACCTGCTCCGAGCGGCCTGGAAGTGGCCTGCTGGCCTCAAGCCCTCCGGTGAGTGCCCACTGCGGGCCCGGCCCGCCTCCCGGGCTGGCGAGGCCCACCACGCACCTCTGACTCCCACCCTTGTCTCCTCCCAGGGGGAAGTAGCTTTCGGACGCCCATTCAGGAGGAGCAGGTGGACACACACTCCACGCTGGTGAAGGTCTGAGCTGCGCTTTAGGAGTGGGGTTCAGGGACAGAGGACTCCTTTACAGGCCATCTGTCCTCCACACGTGTGCACCGTTCTAGGTGCTCAGCTGGCTCTGGCCTCTCCCGTGTATATGTGTATGTACCCATGTATGCGTGTATGCTGTGCATACTGCCTGCTTGGAGCCACCCCAATAAACACACCGGTAACTGTGAGTCCAACAGCATAACCTGGACGGAGAGGGCCTCAGGCCGAGGTGGTTGGGTCTGCTCCAAGCCTCGAGCCTGGGCCTGGGGCACTCCAGTGCCAAAGGGAATGGACAGGGCCTGGCTGGGGGCTTGTTGAGAAGCTCAGAACCTCAGCCTCAGGGGATCCTGAAACCTCAGCCCATTGGAGTCATAATCCGGTACCGAGAACAGGCAGGCCCCTGGGTCCTGGTCTGGAGGGGCCTGGCTCCACGGCTTAGGCCTTTGTGGCTGCCCCTGGTGCCTGGTTGTCCAAGACCTCCCTGGGTACCAGCCGGTGATTCTCCGGACTGTTGTCACCATTGGCTTGAGCCAAACTTGGGCCGCCCTGAGACCTGGCCACTCCATTCCTGGCTATCTACCCAGAAACAAGCACCCTTGGACTCCTTCAGCAACGCTACGCCACACAGGCCAAGGGTGGAAAGGCTCAGATGTCTGCAGAATGGACAGACAATTGCAGTGAGTTCTGATGGGCTTTTGGGCTCTCTTCAAGATGGAGTTTGTGGCCTCACCCAGAGTTGCCCTGAGCTGTGGATGGCCAGCATCAGGGGCCCAGGTACCTGACCAAAAAGAAAGGAGCCACCTAGAAAACTGATCTCACACAGAAATGATGTGACCCAGGGGCTGGGAAGATGGCTCAGTGGTAGAGTGCTTGCCTTGCATACCTGAGGCCCTGGGTTCGATTCCTCAGCACCACATAAGCAAAAAGAAAAATGCCGGAGGTGGCGCTGTGGTTCAAGTGGTAGAGCGCTAGCCTTGAGCTGAAGAGCTGAGGGACAGCGCCCAGGCCCAGAGTTCAGGCCCCACGACTGGATCCCCCCAAAAAAAAACAAAAACAAAAAAAAGAAATGATGTGACCCAGATGTGGCTCACGCCTGTCATCCTAGCTACTCGTGTGGCTGAGATCTGAGGATCATGGTTCAAAGCCAGCCCAGGCAGGAAAGTCCATGAGACTCTTACCTCCAATTCATCACCAAAAAGGCTGAAGTGAATCTGTGGCTCAAGTGGTCCAGCTCTAGCCTTGAGCCAAAAAAGATAAGGGACAGTGCCCAGGCCCTGAGTTCAAGTCCTAGTATTGGCACACACATGTACACATGCATACACACGCATGTGTGGGCACACACATGCACACGCACACACATGGACACGCACAATGGTGTATGACTGACTGTGCAATTGAACCAGAAGCCAGGCCAATCCAGGTCGATGCTGTATGCCACGTGTTAGGAACTGTTGACACACAGAGCACACATCGGATAATGTGAGGAGGTGTGCCAGGCCGGACAGTCGTGTCCGCGTCTGCCCCTGCGGCCGCTGGCCTGGCCCTGCCCCTGTGCCCTGTGGTCATGGGCCCCAGCTTCCACCCAGTCTGTGGCTAGAGGTAATAATCAAGCCCTTGTGTCAAGCTGGGCATCCAGTGGGGCATCCAATGGCCGTGACCCACACGGGGCCTGGATGGACTCTTCGGGTCCTCCGCACTTCCGCTGGCTCTTTCCTCTCAAATCTGACTCCTTCCCTCTTCCTCTTCCGACAACTTCCAGCACTTGATCCTGGGTCTGTCAGAGGTAACAGACACTGATCTACAGTCCCCGTCCTGGGGGAACTGTCAGGCCTGGAGGGACAGGGCAGGAGGTCAGTGGATGGGTTACATCCAAGGGGACCTAGGAGATCGAGCCACACCAGGACCCCCGCCCTCTGGAGACCCTCCTGGAGACGCCGCACAGATCTACTCTCAGCGTTAGTCCAGGCCGCTCGGCCCCCCACAGAGGAGGAACAGGGTCTCACAGGTGCACGCTGCCTGCAGGAGATGCGAGGGATTGTCTAGGGTCACGGGGGTGTGTTGGCACAGACCTGGATAACTAGCTAGGTCCTTAAAACAGGTCGAAACCCAGTCTGGACTGCCCGGTCCCTTCCTCGTGGGGTGCCACCTGCACCCCACGGCTGTCTGGTGGCATACCTTTGTCCCAGGTTCCTCCAAGAAGGACGTCGACGACAGACAGCTTGGAGTCCAGGGTCCAGGGCGCCTCCCTGGGAGGCTCAGCTCTGAGGCTGAGGAAACTAGAGTCAGCTGGTAACTCCTGACACCCCTGCTTCCTAAACCACCTGCAGCGGCAGTTTTTAAAAGGCTTCCTGGACCTGACACCTCATGATGGGCACTAACTACTCCGGCCCGTGGCGACCCAGCCTCACCCTGAACCCGCTCCCTGCAGAGCTCCCACTGCAAGGATGGGAAATAGCCCAACAAC